ACTCCGATGCCGACTGGGTTGGCTGCCCAGACTCTCGGCGCTCCACCTTCCGCTATTGTGTCTACCTCGGCGACAATCTGATTTCTTGGTCCTCCAAGCGTCAGACCACGGTCTCCCGCTCCAATGCAGAAGCAGAGTACCGTGCTGTTGCTCATGTGGTGGCCGAGTGTTGCTGGCTGCGCCAGCTCCTGCAGGAGCTCCATGTTCCCATTGCTTCGGTGACAGTTGTCTACTACGACAATGTCAGCGCTGTCTACATGACAACCAATCCCGTTCATCATCGTCGCACGAAGCACATTGAGATTGATATTCACTTCGTCCGTGAGAAGGTCGCCTTGGGCCAAGTTCGGGTTCTTCATGTGCCGTCCTCTCACCAGTTCGCAGGCATCATGACCAAGGGCCTTCCTGTACAGCTATTTACTGAGTTCAGGTCCAGTCTATGCGTTTGGGATCCTCCCGCTTAGACTGCGGGCGGGTATTAGGCAAGTCTATGTGTGATTAGCTATGATTAGCACCTGCTATGTATACTTGATTGTATTCCTTGTATACCCAGCCATATTGGCTATATATACGAAGGTCACCCCCCCATATTGGGTGTGAGGTGTGTCTCTACAGTTTGTAGCCAATGTTGTGTAGTGGACTCTAGCATTAGCTTTTTTTGTTGGACATGCATCTACCTCCTATATTGAAATTTTGCACATGCTAGATTCAACAGCATAGCATGTGGACATTTTCCATATAGGAGGTAGACAGAATTGCCTTCCAGCATTTTTTTGCAATGTCACTAGTATATGTATCATCCTTGAAAGACTTCAGTCTATGGAAAAGAACCATTTGAATTATTCCATGCACCATTTCATCAAATATCTCAATAAATGCTAAATAAACATTTTAAAATGCTACATTTAGTACTTTCTATCTAGGGAATGGTAAGTTGGTACATAAATCGAAAAAGGAAATTACACTGAATGTTATGATATTACCTGCAAGTTCATGGTTTCCAGAACTTATTTTGGATAACAGCCAGAACACCTTTTTTTTTTTTTGCATTCTAGCTGACCAATTTATTCGCCGGTTTGTCATCCACCTGAAAGCAAAATCATTATCATAGTCCTATGGTCAGGCTCTGCTGCAGAACACTTTCATGTATGTGGTTGAGATATGCTCATTAACCCTTAACGCACAACAGTTTGACTGCCAATACTGAATAGAAAAGAAAAATGTGCACTTAGTTTTCTTAGTTTCTGTGTGTTGAACATGATATTTAGACCTCGGAATTCCTTTGCCTTGGTTCCAGCTTGTCCCCTTTTTTTTTTACCAAGATTCCCGTTTGAATTATGATATAATTTGTTTGTGTCATCTGCTGATTATGTTCCGCTTTTGGGAATTGGTTTATTTGCCGCTGTTTGTGATCAAGTGTATTTGCAGCTTCACTCTTGTTTGGTACTCGTGGAGTTGCGGTGTTGATCAAATTGCATATCAAAAAAAAAATTTAAATTGTGGTTCTGTGCACTTTGAATGTTGCCGTTGAAACCTAATTCCAATTTGGTGTCTCTGCAACCACGTCCACTCTCTTCATTAGATGTTTTACTACTAATTGATAATATACAGTTCAAAAAAAGAACCTTGACATTGAGGCTGATCAATACGTCTCGGCAGCAATGTTCTCGATATTGATTTTCTTTTTCTTTTTCTGGGAGTTGATGTTTCTTAAAAAATTTATGTTGAAGACGATTGGGCCTGTTTTGTTTCATAGCCTCAACTTACACAGTTTGCCACGTATCATGGCGTCTCAAGTTACACAAGTTGGGCCAAACCTTGGTTCATAGCTACAGTTGTGGCAAGGATTTTTCCTTTCAATCTGTTACGAGCTCACATGCCTTGTGCTTGCCGAAGTGACACAAAAGTATTTGTTTACCAAACCTGATGCCAGCTTGGTGAAAATAGTTGGCAAACCTTGGCAATGTTTAGACTATTAATCAAAGAGAGCCTTTCGAACTCGAGGCTAAAGCAATGATGATGAGGTCGTCTCTAATAGTTTTGGTTTTCCGATTAACCACTATCAAGCCATTGTGTTGCGTCACCACATTGAAGATGTTAGCATAACGAGAGTGATGTTGAATCTGGACTTCTGCTGTCTGGTTCCCTGCAGCTTAATTACTTTTATCAAAGTGTGAAGTGTCACCTGGAACAGAGGCCATGCATGCAAGATCTACTGCCATTGCCAGTATTGAAAGCGCACGTATGGCCGCATGGCCATGCCTGGTCTTAGGGTATTGGGAGTATATAATGGCTGTCGCACTTAGTACGCAGTTTCGCAGCAGCCATCCAGCACGCAGGGATCCACTGGAACCCCATCGAACGGATACCGATGAACATGGACGCTTGGTCGCTGAGTCGTATTTGGCTTATAAGTCATGGTAGCCAACGAACAGTATCTTTCTCTTATATCAAACTAGCCAGTAGTACTTTTAGCCATGGCTTATAAGCCAAACCCGTTCAAACGAATAGGGCAGGTTTTTTACTCCGTCCACGCATGTGCAGTATCTTCGGCTCTTGGCAACGGAACTGACGGTGTTGGGTGTCGCAGAAGATACTGATGCCCTGATGTGAACAGGTTAGGAGGAGGTTCGTTCGTCGGCCCCATGTGAATGTACATGTTACCTTTCATTCTCCCTGCAGATCGGAGGAAAGAAACGCCCGGCCGGCATGACATGAAAAATGCCAGTGTCACACCCTCGAGTCGCGTCCAGGATCCGTCCAAGGCTGGACACGTTACCACTTCACATCAGTTGGTCGATGCGCCACCCTGGATACCGGCCGGCATGACATGAAAAATGCCAGTGTCACACCCTCGAGGCGCGTCCAGGATCCGTCCAAGGCTGGACACGTTACCACTTCACATCAGTTGGTCGATGCGCCACCCTGGATACCGGCCCGCTACAAGTAGCTTAGATGGATTCGTTTCTTTTAGTACTAATTAGGTGTAGCACGTTTTGACCATGGGAGGGAAAGTCGAGGACATGCATGATCGCGTTTTAGGCCCGGCACAGATTGACTGGCCAGCGCCACTCGCTGCTGTCACGGTGCCGATCTGTGGGCTCGTGGCGACGGACGATTTGTGCCTCCTTCCACAACGGACATCAAGTACTGTTTGTTTTAACTGGAGTAACATACACGTACAGATTACAGATATGTATAATGCACTAGTACTAGACTATACTAGTATATTGTGCGAAGATTAATTGGTGGTAGTGAAAACTGCCTCGCTAGCAGGCTCGCGCGGCAGTGGAGCGGCGGAGGTCGCATATCAGCGTCGGCTCCGACCACCACCACAACGCATGTGGCCGCTGCTGGTGATGATACCAGTACCAAACTGTGGAGCCGATCAAGGAGGAGGAGGGTACTGGGGGGCAGTATAGTAGGTACACGACATGTCCGGCTGGGCTTGTTGCCATTTTCAAGCGGCGATGGAACAGAACAGCCGCCGTTTTGGATCATCCGTTCTCCATGGCCCCCGCTTGTGGGCACATCGTTAGAGCCTCAGAGGTGGTCATCTTGACTCGCGCACATTGCGTATCCAACAGTGCACGATGGAACTGTTGCACTCGACCTTACTAGAGTCGAACTTCACAAGCAGTCACAGCATGGATGGAGCAAGTGAAGAACCTGCTAGACTCGCACTAGACCTACTCCATGTGACATGCTACTCGCATCCTACGAGAGGCACTCAAAGGTCAAATGACATCCTGTCTTAGATAATCTTCTTTTGTTGCACTACTTCAGCAGTATTTTTAAGTCAACGAACAATGTTTTTTTCTCACAACGAATCAGTATAAGTTAAATTTTAACGAAACAAATAACACCTTTTACATAAAATCCCTGAAACCGTGAAACCGAGTTTTTATTTCAACAAAGGGGGTAATTGGTTGCTTAAGGGTCAGCGAGCCGGGATGGAGTGGTTGTCCAGGCTCTTTCCAACCTGATAAGACTATGCATTTTGCTATGTTTGGTTATCTTTGTTGTTGGTCTAGTACGAAACGAGATCGTGTTTGGTTGCACGCATGCATTAAAGTTTTGAGTGTCTGATATGTGGGCCCTGCATCATGCGTGTATGAAGTCATCCCGGCTCGCGAGGGAAGATGAAATTGAGAAGATAAAGACGTGCGGGATGGAGGGGGACAGATGAATGAAACGAAGCAGGTAAAACATGTGAGGAGGGGAATCAAACATGGCTACAGTGCACCACTTTGGTGCCGGACGGGGCTCCGAACGGCGCGAGCACGGCGACCAATCACCCCCAAACTGATCCGTCCCGGCATGAAGCATCCATTGACCGCGATCCGTCCCAAAATCCCAAAAGGTCCCGGCGCTGCCACCCAATTGTTTTAGGGGCTCCAAACGTGGGATGAGCAGCGGTAATTTCTGGGCTCCAAACGTGGTTACGCAGGGGATCCGTTGCCATCAACGCCTGGCTGACGACTCTTTGCGGGGCAGCGGGGGCAGGGCTGCTGCAGCGGCGCAGAGAGATGCGCCCCCGCCCCCACGTGCTCCGCCTGATGGGAGCCTCGTCACGGCCCCCAGACTGTCTGCGACGAACCAGGACAAAAAGAAACAGGCGGAAGTGGCGCTAAAATAATAAGGCAAAGGCGCGGCGCGAGCGGAGCACGAGAGAGAGCACCACGCCATCCCAGCCTGCCTGCCTGCCTCCTCAGTCTCTGCTTTGCAGCTCGCTGCTCTCCGCATCCGCTTGTGCGCCCGTGCCGCTCACTGGCTCCATTCCCAAGCTCTCTGCCTCTCTCCCCTGCTCGTCTCCTCGTCCGTGCGTGCAGAAGCAGCAGATCGGGGTGAAGAGGAGCTGATCATATCCTCTGCTGCTTCTGTCCAAGAAGAGCTAGCTCGCCGATTCAAGAGCAAGCGGCGGCGGTGATGCGGGGACTTGTCTTCGCATAGCCAAGATCCGTCCAGCAGCGGTGGTAGCTTGACCGATTCATTCAAGAATGGAGGAGAAAGCGGCGGACGCGACGGCGGCAGTGGCGGCGGCGGCAGCGGACCAGGACGGCGCGGTGTACTGCAGCGAGCACCCGTACCCGCCAGGCGCGACCGCGGCGGCCGGGGCGGGCGCCGGCGGCATCTGCGCCTTCTGTCTGCAGGAGAAGCTCGGCATGCTGGTGTCGTCGTCCAAGTCCAGCCCCTTCCATCCGCCGCCGCCAGTGTCCTCGACGCCGCCGTCGTCCAACCGCGCCTCCTCCGAGGCGCCGGCGCTGCCACTCTACCCTTCTTCCGCGGCGTCGTGCAAGGTGATGCCCGCGCAGAACCCGGGCGGTGGGACTGGGCTCAAGAGGAGCAAGTCGGTCGCGCCGCGGCCGGAGGAGCCGCTGCCGCCGCCGGCGCCCGCGATCACCGCGGACAGCCCGCGCAAGAAGAGCTTCTGGTCCTTCCTCCACCTCTCCTCGTCGTCCGGCAGCCACCACAAGCAGGGTGCGTCGTCGGCCTCGGCTTCGGCCAACGGCGGCGGCGTCGCGGCGGCGGCGAGGAGGAACTCCGTGTCGGTGGCGTCGGCTTCGTCGGCGTCGCTCGGGGGCCGGCTGGAGGCGATCGTGGAGCCGGCGGAGAGCCCGGGCCGCCGGAGCGAAGGCTCCTCGTCGTCGTCGTTCGGGCGGAAGGTGGCGCGGTCGCGCTCCGTGGGCTGCGGCAGCCGCAGCTTCTCGGGAGACTTCCTGGAGCGCCTCTCCACCGGCTTCGGCGACTGCGCGCTCCGGCGCGTCGAGTCCCACCGCGAGCCCAAGCCCAACAAGGCCGCGGAAGCGGGCGCGCTGGGCCGCCACCTTGGCGGCGGCGGCGAGGAGCACGAGCAGGACCAGCACCACCGCATCAAGTGCGCCGGGTTCTTCGGCGGCGGCCTAGGCGCCGCCGCGGCCGCGCCTTCGTCATCCTACTGGCTCTCGGCACCCGACAGCGGGAGCGGCGCCGGCGGCGGGAGCGCGAGGGGCACCGGCTCGTCGCGGAGCCACCGGAGCTGGGCGTGGGCGCTGGCCAGCCCCATGCGGGCGCTGAGGCCGACCAGCTCCTCGTCCAGCAAGAGCATCATGGCCGCGCCCACAGCCGCGTGAACGGCAGCTTCATGTGTTGATGCCGCTGCGTGAGCGATCAATGGCGGGTGAATCATCCACCTCCGAACCATACTAAATGTCTCCATCTTTCTTGGTGTTCTTGTGTCCATGTCTTACGATTTTACGCAGAGCCTGGTCGATCCTGTTATTGTTGAAAAATGTTCCTATGGATCTAGCTATAGCTACTGCCTTTACATTTGGGACTCTTGTCTCTTCATCCAAGTGGCCAAGAAAACCGTGGAACTTGTTAATCTGTTTTAATCCCTCTTTGTTTCGGCAATTCATCGTATGTTTCATCTGCCTTTGCATTATATATCGTTCAGTAATCCTCTCTCGAAAGTCGAAACTCATCGCCTCTCATAGCTGAACGTCAGGCATGCTTGCCCTTCGAGCCTTCGACAGTAGTAGGTGATGGCATTTCTCAGTCCATACATACTAGTACTGTACAATGGTCTGGTACCCTGGTGGATTGGATGAGGCCGCATGTGGCTATCGCAATGGGCCTTGATGCTAGATTTGACGTGCTCGGTTAGTATCGCAGCGGACAGTTGTTAGCTCCAGGAATTTTACTGCCGAGTAACCGGGAAGCCTTGTGTCAGCACAGGAGCAGTAGTTGCCGCCGTACAACAACAACAACAACAACGTGCAGTACGGCTGCCACTGCGGCCCTGCGCTGCTGCCTGCTGGGGACGGAGGAGTATGAGCAGTCTCTTTTCCTCTGCCTCCTGCACATCCCACGCTCTCGTGATTTCATTACTTTCCGCTCTACTAGCCCCCGTGCCGTCTCGTGCGCTATCCCCCACGAGCCTGCCCAGTGCACCAGTGCAGGCAGAAGCCGCCGGCGCGCCCGTGCCGTCACCGCGCTGCCCGTAGTTACCGTATGCCGTATGCGGGTTCACGGACGGGCCTGGGCAGTCGGCACGAACCGGCTGCACCTCCAAATCTAGCGCCCGTACGTTTCGCCAGATCTGGGCGAGTAGTGATCGTGTTAGCAGATAGCAGGCCTGCAGGAGATCGAGAGCCGCTCCCATTTTCTGCCTTCTTCTCTTCTAACAGCCGGCCGGCATGGGTGATGGGTGGAGGAAGTCAGGAAGTGGAGCTGCTATACATGCGCAGGCTGATCCGTCCAAGTCTCAGATGCGTGTGCTGTGGACGGTGGACCTGTGGTCTGGTCATATATGCTGGGGGGCACCAGACGGTGCTGGTGCGTGATCGTGACAGGCCGCGAGCCGCGAGATTATTAGGCTCTGTTTAGTTCATCCAAAATACTAACTTTGACACTATAAAAAAAAAATTCTTCGTCACATCAAACTTGTGGTACATGCATGGAGTACTAAATGTTGACGAAATAAAAAAAACTAATTACACAGTTTAGTTGTACTTTACGAGACGAACGTTTTGAGCCTAATTAGTCAATATTTGGACAATTATTATCAAATAAAAACGAACAAGTACTGTAGCTACAGTGCTACGCGAAATCAGTCGGCGCACGTCCAATCAATGCCTGTATGCCTAGCGCAGCGTTTGTTGCCATGGCGGCATGCACGGCGGATGCGCGTGCTCGATCAGCAGTGTCTACGCCTACGATCGTAGTAATTCCTAATTTGTTTTCCGTAATTCTACCCCTCACATAGCGTTGGAACACTCGATTCTTCTTCTTCATCTCTATCACTAGCATCTTCCTCTCTTCTCCATCTTCGATGGGCTTAGAAGAGATTTTTCGGGAAGCAGCCAGCCAGGCGGTGGGGCCAGGAGAGGCGTCAACGAGGTAGAGGTGGCGATGACGCCGACAAAGAGGGCAGCGGAGGGACAGGCCAGGTTGGGACGGAGGCGGCCATGGCCATAACAACGGCGGGGGAGGGGAAGAAGAAGGTCATCGCGGACACGGACGGCGCGCCGAGAGAAGTAAGAATACGTGAAGAAAAAAAATCAAATGGTCTGGAAGCCAAAACACAAGAGCAACGGATGGGCAGATTCTTTGTTTTTTTTCATCGAAAACTGATGATTGATCAGCAAGGGTGGATGAAAAATCGCAATGCAAATAGACCCCGACGCGGTTGCAGGCTCTGTTCGGCCGGTCTATAAGCCGCTTGTGCTGATTTGTACAGCTGATTTGTTGGGAGAGAAAAATACTGTAATATGGCTAATAAGCCGGCTTATAATGGTCACCACGTGCAATGTGCATTTGCATCAACAGTATAGCAATGTACCACCACCGCACGATCACCAGCCATGAGCCCATGATGCTGCCCAACTGGAGGCGCGTCGAATACGGACCAGGAGAGGCTGAGCTCCGTTCATTCATCAGCTGAGCTGCTGGGGGTTAATTTGTTGCTCAAGCGTAGCTGTCACACACAGAGAGACCATGCATGCATGTATCATGTATGCGTACATAATCATCCTTAACAATGATGATATTCCCTGTCATCATCCCGTGAGAGAGATCGATCAGCTGGTAGAGAGAAAGGCCGTGCACGGTGGACCTTGCCGCTCAGTTTGATAAGAGCCGCATGCTGAATGGACAGGCGGCAGATAACACGGCGATATATTGTTTGGTTGCTGCCTCCCAGGCAGCTGCGACGCAGGGCAGTGTCCCCAGGCGTTGGATTTCGATCGCCTGGGGCTGCGATCGCTTGCCTGGCAGGCAAGCCCAGGCGAGGGCGGCATCCAAACATGCCCTATGTGTTGCAGTTGAGCTATACGGCACGGTCGGCCAACTGTCTTCGGCGACCCCACAATCTCATCTAAAATAGTCTTGAAATAAAAAAAACAACTGAAGAATCCGAAGAAAATTCAGGCTAGATTTAGATGCAAAATATTCTGGAGTTTTAGTAAGAAATACTCTGGTTTTAATTAGAGCGCCATAAAGCACTACAACTACAACATAAACAATTGATAGAGGCGACCATTTCCACATACACATGAGCTGCATCTACAAATGTATTTTTTAGTGGCAATAGGTAAGACCAATCATCCCTGAAAACATTTTTTTATTTTATTTTTTTGTTAGGATAAAAAGGAGACATGTCTTAATCATGTATGCATATTATACCTCTCCACACATCCACGCGAGCATACATATATGTATGTATGTCACGTCTATATCTTTTATAAAGATAAACCTCACATCTATATTAAGTTATTCACATTAGCAAACCACATCATTTACTAACATATATTTAGTTGTCCACATCAGAATGCTAAAAATCATCCACTAACATGTATTATGATATTTATTCAATCATATTAGTAAATATAAGTAGTATAATTTCATCAGCGATTCCCGCAACAACGCGCGGGGCGTTCTTCTAGTTCTAAAAAAACAAGTGACATCTAATTATGAGATATTTTATCTATATTTTGCTATTTTCAAAATAAGTGAATAGATAAATATATATTTCTCAACATGTGATAATTGACATCTAAATTAGCGATCCATAGTCACTTTAGAATATTGTAGTACAAAAGACTTTATGGTTTTGAAAATGTTGTATGCCTAGAACTCTAGACTTGCTTTTTCTAAACTATGGTTTTGCATATTTTATATGGATTCTAAAGCTATAGTTTCTGAATATCATGGTTTTTTAAAAACTATATAGAATCAAAATTGGGCCTTAACTCAGAATCATCACATGAGCCAACCCAAGTCAATTTTCAAAGAAGAATCTGAAAAAGGAACACAAAAATTAATTGAAGCCTCGCATTCTCCTTCTTAACAGGCCAGCCCATTTTTTCTAGAGTGGACTGGGCTGAGCCATCTGATATCACCAAAAGAACCCAAAGAGTCCCAAGGCTTGATGATCGATCCACCCAATTCCTCTCCATCTTCCTCTTCCTTCCATCGACAGGGAACTTCTCGCTACGTCTATCTAGCAATAAAAAACCAGCGCCGTCGGCTTCCGCCACACCTCACTGGTTCGCAAAAAAACACAGTACCCAACACTGTAGGCGCGACACGTATGTCCATCGACAGATCGACGAAGCACCTATGGATCAGTATCCACTACCTTAAAAAAACACGAGTGCGCCAGCCGGCTTTGGAGGAAACCACGAGCAACAAGTGGGGGCTCGCCCTTGCCAGTCGCCGATCCGGAGCTGAATCCAAGAACGATGGCCGCCACTTCGCAGCTCTCAGGGCGTGCCCAACGGGCTATCGAAGTCGCCAGCATCTATGTGAATCCGTCCGATCTGCGGAGAGAGAGCGTGGAAAAAATGACTCGCTAGCGATGAAGCAAGCGCTAGTCTCGCACTTGTTTCGATGAGCGCTGTGTCTCTGCTCCTCACGCGCTTCCATGGTATGCAGATCAAGTTCCTTTTTATTTTATTTTATTTGAACGCTACCTCAGCTAGCGATTTCGACGCACTGCTCCAACGACCACTCAAATACGAGATTCATTTATTCTTTGAGCAGTGTTACACATAAAAGGTTTAATATCTATTTTTATCGACGAAAATATCTAAAAGACAACTCTTTTTATAAATAGATCTTTAAGAGAGAGGGTTCTTAGATTTAGGTTATGTTGTCCTGATACCTAAAATAAATCTTCTATAGATACTCTATTAAAAACTATAAATATTGTGTTAAAAATCCATTTTAATTTGGGTAGCCTCGGGCGTCCCCAACAGGTACAGCTAGCTAGATGAGTACGTGGCAGAAAGAGAACGTCTAAACTTAATAGCTAGCGACGAGTTCCTCGCCTAGCTCGTACATGTTTATAGAAATCTACTACTCTCTACTGCCGAGACCCACTCTTGGTTATGCTGTGGGGCTCACAGCTTTTTTCCTTTTTTTGTTTAATTTGTATCAACCGGCGATTTACGTTCCCTTGTTGAGGCCGCCCTCAAGACCCGACAATGGCGTTTCCCTATGAGATCGAGGGGCATCTGAAGTTCTGAACACTCGGAGATGCCCGTCGACAAAACAATGGCATCGCACAACGCCTTGGGCCTTGTTTAGATCACCTCTAAATTTCAAGTTTTTCTACTCTTTTTTCATCATATCAATTTTTGGACGTATGCATATAGCATTAAATGTAGGTAAAAAATAACTAATTGTATAGTTTGGTTGTAAATCACGAGACGAATCTTTTGAGCCTAGTTAGTCCATGATCGGACAAAGTTTGTCAAATACAAACGAAACGTGCTACAGTGTCTCGATTACAAAAATTTATAATCTAAACAGGGCCTTGTTAATTTTAAAATGCCCGCCTTGCTCAGCATCTGCGCTGCACAGCAGCAGCAGTATAAAAAACATCAGCTACTCCCAAGTTTCATCCCAGCCGGTGTGCAAAGAAGTCGTAGAAACACTAGATCCTCGTCCTCGCAGCAGAGCAGACTGCAGAGGGTAGTAGAGCCATGGCAACCAGCAGCTCCGATGAAGTTCCTCCCGCTGCAAGGAAGTAAGAACACTAGCTAGTTACCTTCCGTTTTATCCCTGCCATGCTGATTCGAATCATCCGGCGATTTTTTTTCCAATTTGTAAGCTTTTACTTGTCTGATTATTACATGACGGGTGGCCAATTTGTTACGAACGTGTTTACGCGCGCGCGCGCAGGCTGGTGGGCAAGGTGGCGCTGATCACTGGCGGGGCGAGCGGCATCGGGGAGTGCACGGCGCGGCTCTTCGTGAAGCACGGCGCGCGCGTCGTGGTGGCGGACATCCAGGACGAGCCGGGCGCCGCTCTCTGCGCTGAGCTGGGCGCCGACGCCGCCAACTACGTGCACTGCGACGTCACCGTCGAGGGCGACGTCGCGGCGGCCGTGGACCACGCCGTGGCCCGCTTCGGCGCGCTGGACATCATGTTCAACAACGCGGGAATCGGCGGCGCGGCGTGCCACAGCATCCGGGAAAGCACCAAGGAGGACTTCGAGCGCGTGCTGTCCGTCAACCTCGTGGGACCGTTCCTGGGCACCAAGCACGCGGCGCGGGTCATGGTGCCCGCGGGCCGCGGCGGCTGCATCATCGGCACGTCCAGCCTGGCGTCCGCGGTGGCCGGCGCCGCGTCGCACGCGTACACGTGCGCCAAGCGCGGGCTCGTGGCGCTCACGGAGAACGCCGCGGCGGAGCTGGGCCGCCACGGGATCCGGGTCAACTGCGTCTCGCCCGCCGCGACCGCCACCCCGCTCGCAACGGAGTACGTGGGACTGGAGGGGGAGGCGTTCGAGCAGGCCATGGAGGCCGTCGCCAACCTCAAGGGCGTGCGCCTGCGGGTGCCGGACATCGCCGCCGCCGTGCTCTACCTCGCCAGCGACGACGCGCGCTACATCAGCGGGCACAACCTGCTCCTCGACGGGGGCTTCTCCATCGTCAACCCGTCCTTTGGGATCTTCAAAGATTGACCTCGAGTGCTTGATAGAGTCACAGATATCTCTGTGATTGCTCGACAGAGATATGCTCCCGCTCGATCTCAGTTCCATGCTTTTCGAAGAGAGAGATTGATTTGTACCATCCGTGAGCTCCGTGTGTCGCATGGTGCACAAACCTGCTGCTGTATTTGGTCATGTTCTGCACTTCTATGGACAGTGTAGCAGTTGCACCAATTCCAGCGAGGTTCCTATTGAAGTCCCTATAGCACCTATTGTCGTTTTTATCCTTAAAATTTTGTAATATACTCCGTCCCTTCCAAATTATATGTGGTTTTGATTTTTTTTATTCATCCATTGGCAAAATGGATATAAAAAAAGTCAAAGCGACTTAAAATTTAAAACAGAGGAAGTAAAAGAGATGACAATTCCATCGGATCTCCTATCATATCCTTTTCCTTTATATTTAGAGAGATCTCTCTCCTCTCTCCCAAGAACAAGTACAGTAAAGGCTACAAATGAGCTGGATGCTGAGATGGAGCAAAGAGAAGATAAAAACACTTTGAGAGAAAAATAAATTGCCCATAGGTGAGCTAACTATTGTATAATAAGTAGTGAACTGAGCGTAGCTCAACAGGTTGGGTTCCTTGTGGTAGAACCTGCCACCCGGGTTTAAATTCTCGACTTGACACGGGTGCTCGCATTTTTTTGGATTTATTCCAGGAGATTTAAAAGCGCTATTCTTTTAGTGGTAGGTGACGTGTCTGTCAACGACGAGGGCCTATGCTGACTTTGTCAATCTTGAGATTTGCCGATCCAACTCAGTTCTTCGGAGGTACGGTCCTCATATGAGCAGGGTGTGTGTGCGTGCGTTCATATGGGTGAATGTGCGCTCGTGTATGTAAGCATCTGCGTCTATAACTGGGTCTATTGTATAAGTAATTAAGCTGAATAGATTGGATATAAGTGTATATACGACCATCAGTAGACTGTATTTATTAACCTTGCACTTTTCCATGGCCTGGTGCCCATCACCGGAACAATCGAATGCCCTCTTTTGCTTCAGAAACCTCTTTGGTCACCACCGTTATAGTCCGGTGCCCCTTCACTGTTCACAATGGACCAATCTAGTGAGTGCAACACTACACTGGAACGGTACAAGCGTATAGTCCACTACTTTCGTCGCCGCCACCACCGGATCAATTTGATGCCTTCTAGATGCCTCTCTGCTAGGGTTTACCACCGTATAGTACACGGTGCCCCTAGGGGGCCAAGTCCGACCAATCCAGTGCATGCAACCAGCATGCATTGTTGTTCTTTTCTTCATGTCCGGCTTGGTTCCATTTTGTGTCTTGGTGTGTTGATAACCAAGATCACCCTTGTGTACTAGCAAACATCATCATTAGTCCAAATGATCATGTTGTTCATCAAACACCAAAATCAAACTTGATGGCCCATAGGGTCCATTTTCCTTACAACCATCTATTACATATATATTTACATATCAAGGCATGAGAATATTATAGTTGATGATTTGACATATGAAGTATCTGGTAAAGATTCTATAAGAGGACATTTTTCCATTGTCGAAAATATTTTTGCCCCAATCAGTGTTGTGTTTTGGGTAGAACGAGGCCATCCGGTTCGGGTGAGGTGTCGAGGAGTGCTTTTATTATAGCATGCTGGGTTACAAAGTAGTGTGCTACTATCCATCTTTCTAGTTGTTTATATCATTATTTTGGATGCTCCCTTATAAGTCATTCACCTTGTTCAAACTATGGTCTTAGTGGCACACAAATGCTATATTCAACCATTATGTTCTTGGCTTGTGTACAACATGGCAAGTCTTGCATAGACCATTTATAGTGATAGCAAAATGATTTATTTGTGCATTATAGTTGTCTAAAGGTGTGAGAGTGAGATCAAGTTGTATTTTAAACATTTTACAGCTGAGATGGCGTGTATTCATACTTGTACCTCACACAACATATATATAAGTACAAACAACAAGGTGAAGTCGTCATCTTGAGCAAATTTGGATGCCATGGCCGATAAAAATCTTTCATCCTTAGAATCAAAACATGGCTGATATGCTAGATGATAATCATCTCCCTTAAATAGTTTTAGTTCAGATATATATTTTTTGTATGCAAACTTCACCAAAAAAGGAGGGGGTATATGTTCGCATTCAAAGTGGCATGCTCAGGGCTAATGCTTATTTTCTCTATAAGTTTGGTATGACAACATGTTTTTTGCAGGTCGTATTCATCGTTCTCATGCATTTTTAGCTAAGTTGCACCACTGACATAAATAAGCCCTTGGAACGACATCGAAATGAGGCTAACTTGCATATCGGAGTTCACGATAACGTAACCCTCATTGAGATGATCAAAATAGACGTGTGGATCACCTGTAAGAAGCTATGATGCTTAGAAGATTCCACAGGCTGATAAAAGTCGGACCATTGGATTTTATATATCGGACCACCCCATTTTGATCAAACCACGGCATCCGATATGCATTTTGGGTCACCTGGTTTTGGTAGTCCAAGAGCAATGGGTCAGTTTGTGATGTGTTTGGGTGTGATTTTAGACCTTCTATGGGGCAAGAGTTTCCCACCCTATAGATATAAAGGACCAAGACAAATTGAAACACACCCACTCAAACCAAATCAATCTCCTTTACTTTTTGCCTCCTTTTGCCCTAGTCTCTTCCAACCTCAACATGTTATTCATCTACTCATCTCCATGACCACAGATGGCATCATAGACCTGATAGCCAACCTAGGGCACACGGGAGATGCCCATGCCCTAACAGCATCCTCTCAAGCGAGAGTTTTGTTGGTATTTTGCTAGTTTTGCTTGTATATAATAGTCGTTCTTCGTCTCGTAATTGCAATATTTACCTATTTTCTACTGCTTATAAACCTAGTTATCCACCACCATGTAACGGTGATATTTATTTGGGACTCGGGAGCAACGCGTGAAAACTGGATCACCCAATTTGCCATATTGGGTCAACCGATTTTAGCATACTACATCACAAGGTTCTTTGTTTTATGATCCACGCGTTCTAACGCTTTAGTTTATGGACACACTAGAATTTTTTAATCGTAATGAGTGAAGTCATAGCCTTACATCTCTAAAATGATGTGGTATATTAGTTACTGGATCAACCGATTTTAGTAGACTGCATCGCAAGGTTCTTTGTTTTAAGATTCGAGCGTTCTAACGCTTTAGTTTATAGTCACACTAGCATTTTTTAATCCTAATGAGTGAAGTCATAGCCTTACTAGTATGGCGCCTGGCCTTGCTACGTAATGCGTATGGAGGAGAGTGGAGGGGCTGACTCTGGCGCTGGCGGCGGCGAGACGCCGTGGCGGCGCTGGAGGAAGCGAGGGGGGTAGAGAGAGATAGGGTTAGGGTTCCAGGCGCCCAAAGGTGTCAAGATGACACAATCCCAGGCTAATCTCATTAATTTGCATAGTTTGATTCTTATACAATCCGACCCAACAACCTGACGCTAGAATTAAGGAAACTTCTAATCAAATCAAATCTAAACAAACTGATAGCTGACCAAGTCTGGAACCTTGGCCCCTGGCCGCTGGTGGTGTCCCTGCCCGGCACGTGGTGTGGCTCAGCCACGTTGCTCCTTGGCTCGGCGTTCATACGTCTTGCCGACCATAACACTTACATTTCTAAAGTGCTGTGGTATCTTAGTTTATATACTAACCGTCCATTAGCCGCCTCCCGAATATGAGCATTTTTCTTTGACCAGTGAAGGGCTGTTCTTTAGTTCCTCGTCTGAACACAAGGCGCCATGACTCACCGGCCCATACAAACCGGCGGCCCATGTGATCCACACTCGCGACTCTGAGGTGTGGTTTGGTGGGAGTGGAACGGAACAAGCTCGAGCGCGAGTCAATTCAGGCGAGGCCGACGGGCTCGCAGCGCCTTCAGCCCCTCAGGCCCTCACCTCACTCCCTCCCTCTCCCCCTCTCTACAAAGGTGCGGGGCATCCAAGGGCAGGACTGCAGGAGCCAGGAGGGGATAACGCAGCATTGCAGCAGCTCCCTCAGACCCTCACCTCCTTCGCAACGGCCTCGAAGCACAGGAGAGAGAGGCGGCGAGAGTTCTTGGTTGGCTAGATGGAAAGGGCGGACCAGAAGCGACGGCCGCTGACGGTGATGGCATCCTCATCGTCGCAGGTGGCAGCGGCGCGGGGCTTGGGCATGGCCAACCCACTGGCGGAGTGGACCGGCCGCGTCAGGTCGCTGGAGGCCGGCGTGAGGGCGTGGCTAGCGAAGCAGCCCACCCACGTCGAGGCCGCCGTGGTCACGGCGGTCGGGGCCGTGCAGGGCGCCGCGCTCGGCGGGCTCATGGGCACGCTCGCGCCCGACGGCGGGGCCGCGCTCCCCGTGCCGCCGCCGCCGCCTGGGGCCGACCCCAAGGTCTTCGCCTCCTTCAAGCAAGCGCAGGTACTGGCCCGGTCCTTATGCGCAACCATTTCGCAGTGAATATTACTACTACAAAATTCGCTTTGATGTGAAGAGTTTGGGGGGCAATGGATATCTGAACTGCGATGCCGAAACACACCGTTTTAACTAATGTTATTATGAATTTCTTTAGAATCTTAAGAAATCGGTAACTGTTTATATGTAATAGGGCACTGGTAATATCTGATATGAAATACGAACGGGGTTGACATATTTTTGTCGAGATGATTGATTTTACTTTGCCCCGGAAGCAAGCAAACTCTAGGTCTTTATTCATGAACAAAAGCAAGATAGCTTTTTTTTTCCTATGCATGTGATGACGTGTTTCTTTAAGGACAAAAAGCAAATGCTCTTCTTTCCATTTAAGCCAAAGTGTCCCAGAGGATCCCTTTACTATGCACATATCGGCTTTTGCTTCTAAAAGCAATTGTCATACGAAAGGAAAATACCGTCCAATTCCTTTAAGCAATTTATGTAATGCTTAAATTTGAATTATAGGCTTTAGCGGGTGGACCCCTGGTGCAAGCACGAAACTTTGCGGTCATGACTGGTGCGAATGCAGGCATATCTTGTGTTATGAGAAGAATAAGAGGAGTGGAGGATGTCCAGGGCAGGTAAGGGTTTCTGGGTTCTGTTTAATTTACTGTTCTGTTAATATTTGCAAGTTCCTTTTATCAAAAAGAATAGTTGCAGGTCCCATGAGAGCCTTCATGTATGTTGTACAGTACACACCTTACTTCTATAGATGTTTAATATTTTCCCTGCCTCCAGTAGTCAATGACAAGTATCTTAACAGTTAACCTCACTAATTTGTACTTTGCAATATTTCAGCCTGTTCGGGAGGCCGTATCGTATCGTGGATTATTTACTGCTGGCTGGTTTGGTGTGAGAGAAAAACACTGTTCCCGGCTGGAAATTTACGATCGTTTACGAGCCAGCGAACAGGCTGATTTTTTTTTTCTGAGCGATGCTGCAGTGGTCCATTCAGCTTAAACTTTTTTCAAGAAAAATAAACTAGATTGCACATTTGATTCCATTTGAACTCGTGCTCAAATTGCACTATTGCAGTTATGTTCAACATGTTTGTTTAGATGTCTGTCTCAGTTATAGATCATTTTTTGCTTTTCATGTTGATTGACGATTTCTCTTTTGCATGTAGCATGGCAGCAGCTTTTGGTTCTGGGGCTCTATTCTCCATCGTGAGTGGAATGGGGACACCAAATCCAGTAGCTAATGCAATTACAACTGGTGTTGCTTTTGCTGTATTTCAAGGTGGTTTTTTCATGGTAAGAATCTGGGAATGTCTATTGCTGATGGAAGTTGCTTCGTTGGTTATTAAGTCTTGTCTTGTCGATGCTGTTTCCTCCGTGTTGGAAATGTTACTAGTCCTTGCCTTCTGGATCCTGTGTAGTACTGCAGCAAAATTTCTGCTTTATAAACGGTCACCCGACTCTTGAGTAGATCATTCTAACCATTGCCAATTTGATCTGTTTTGTAGATCGGTCAAAAGTTTTCAAAGCCACAGAGTGAAGATACATACTATTCTCGTGGAAGAAGCATGCTGCAAAAGTTAGGCCTTGAGAACTATGAGAAAAACTTCAAGAAGGGTCTCCTGACTGATCAAACCTTGGCCCTCCTTACGGACAGGTAAATGTTTTTTCTTTAAAATTCCTAGATTATAGAATTCTGAGCCATGGCACAAGATGCGAAATTACCAGGTAATGTGAATGGAACCTGAGGTTTGTGCTATTTATCTAGGGTCCTTTTGCAGCTTGTGCCACAGTATCTAGGATTTATGCAGTTTATTATTATTTGGTCCATATAGTCTCTCCCGCTCAACTCAGAAAAACAATTTGAGGGTAAACAAAACTGTTGTTGTGCTTATTGGAAATACACGTTTATCATGCCAGTGCACTCAGAGATGTGAAGATCCCTCCTGGTCCCAGACTCCTCATACTTGATCACATTAAAAGGTATGGAATGATTGACAAAAAAAAAAAAAATCTGGTTTTCTAGCATTTAGTGTTCCTTTTCTTAATCTCCTTTTTATATATTTTGCAGAGATCCAGAGTTGACAAGAGCAAATTAAGTGATCAGCACTGCCGCACGGTGCCAGTTATTTTTTCCCCTCGAGTTGCAGAAATTAGGGCTGCGTTCGGCTGGCTGGACGGCTGGGCTGGGGCACGCACTCACACGGGCACTGTTCACATGAACAGTGTTCCCAGACAGAACAATATTTTCCTCTCGCAACAATCAGCCGGAACAGTATTTTGATTTATTTTTCAGTCCTGCCGAACACTCAGTAGGCCAGGAGAACAGTTTAATTTAGCTATTCAGTGACAACTAGTATTTGGTTGTACTACTAGTATATGTTTTCTAGTTATTGTGCACACATCTTTCTTCGTTGAAGTGTATGCAAATCTGTTCTAGGAATGTCAATTTTGTATTCTCAAAGGTTTATGCTGATCAATCAAGAATTTTTTACTACTAGTTTGGGGCATGTCGATCGAAGGGAAACTGCAATTCACACATTTTATTTACTACTAGTTTGGGGCATGTCAATCGAAGGGAAACTGCAAGTTCAATAATCAGATTCATCAGCTAGGTTGACATGTTGGAGCATACAAAATTATATGTACCGTTACCTGGCCAAATGTAAATAATGTACGCCTTTTTAATGATAAAATTATGTACAATTGAATTTAAGGATCAGACTTACATTATAATGTTGTGGAGAGAAACCAACAACTGGAATGTTATGTACACGCTGAGATGAGGATCCTATGCACGGAATAAATGTGTAAGTTGCTACTATATACACAGGGTGCTGGGATGTTCACATTGTTGGAGCGGGGTCAGACAATTGGACGGTCTGATCATTCAGCCGGCTCAAGCAAGGCTTCCCTGTGGCATCAGTGTCCATCAATATCGTGTCACCAGGCTTGAATTGTCCAAAGAGAATTGCTTCACTGATAACATCCTCAACCAGCTGAGTAACGGCTCTTCTAAGTGGCCGTGCGCCACAGCTTCTGTCATACCCTTGCTGAGAAATCAGGTTCTTCATTGAATCTGATATCTCTAGGCCAATCCCAAGGGCTAGAAGCCTACTCTTGACTTCTTGTAGAATTAGGTTGAGAATAGCCATCATCTGCAAAATGTTGGGAGTATAAATGTCTCATTTGAACTACATATGGAAAAAATGATGCACATTTATTCTAGGTGCAAGCTGATTGTATCAAGCTAACATTTTTTGTTCCTACCTTCCATGAATGAGTGATATGATATTCAAAACCACATAATATCAACAAAACAGTAAGTGTAACCACAGACCTGAGTCTTTTCAAGAGGACGGAATACAACCACTTCATCCAATCTATTGAGCAATTCAGGCCGGAAAAATGACTTCAGCTCTTCGATCACAAGGGATTTCATCGCAGCATAGGTGGTTTCCTCTCTATCCTTTTGTGTTGAGAAACCTATGCTCCTCCTTCCGCTTGAGATTGATGTAGAACCAACATTTGATGTCATGACAATCAACGTATTCTTGAAGGAAACTCTGCGACCCTGTAGTTAATGCAAAAGTTCAATGATGCACATCGCTATCAGACCACAGAGAGGATAAGGCCCATGCGAAACAAGTTGCTTGTATTAAATAACTTAGATAAATCTATTTCTATCTTTAGAGTCGGCAAATTCATTTCACCAAAGGCATTAGCAAGGTAGAAAACAGTACAAGTATTGCAATCATCTTAGTGAGCGGTTAGTATAACCCTCTAGGTGCATGATTTGGCTAGTATAGCCCTCTAAGATCTGAAAAGACTTGCACAAAAAATATAATGGTGGATGTCAGGAACAAGTACTTGTGAGTCCGTCAGGTGTCCATCTTCAAATACTTGGAGAAGAATGTTGAAAATATCTGGATGAGCTTTCTCTATTTCATCAAGCAAGACTACAGTGAATGGTTTTCTCCGGACTGCTTCAGTCAAAGTTCCACCTTCACCAAATCCCATGTACCCAGGAGGAGAGCCTATCAGCTTGCTCACAGTATGCCTCTCCATATATTCGCTCATATCTAACCTAACCATAGATGATTCCTGCAAATGGAAGAAATAACTTTTTCAAGACATGATCCATGCAACGTGTAATACATATATATAAATAACAAGAGAATGGTGTGAGAAGGAAGGCATAACCCACAGATCCAAAATAACTCGCTGCTAGTGCTTTTGTGAGTTCAGTTTTTCCAACTCCAGTTGGACCGCAGAAAAGTAGTGTTGCAATAGGTCTGTCAGGATCATTCAGGCCAACACGTGATCTCTTCACAGCTCTAGATATGGCCACAACAGCATCGTCTTGACCTATGACACGCTTTCTAAGCTCATCATCTAGTCCAACTAGAAGCTTTGTTTCATCTGCAGTCAACTTCTGGACTGGTATCCCTGACCACAATGATGTGACTCTTGCAATTTCCTCTGAATCAACCAGAACAGGTCTGCATGTTAAGAGTGACCATAAGTTATATGGTTCTAAGTTGCAGGATGTGAAGCCTACTCTGTATGACATGACTACATGAGGGAACCTACTCATCGACTGAAGTTGGAGGCATCGATGGCGAAGCAATCTTGTTGTCACCTATGACTTCAATACTAACACCATCCTCTTTGTCATTCTCATCTAGAGAATACTTCAACCTGTTAGTCAGTGCCTGAAATGTGATGTACAGTGAAATATAAACATCCACCAGTATATGAAACATTTGCAAGTTGCAACTGCTCTACCATGAACATTGTATTACCACTTCATGCATACTCTGAACAGCTCTAATCTCTTGCCAATATTCATCTGGTGACTTGGAGAGAATAGAGCATTGTTCTTCCTTCTTCCTTTTAAATGATTCCATCCGAGCCCTACTGCCAGCTTCATCAATCAGATCAATAGCCTTATCAGGAAGATGTCTGTCAGGGATGTATCTTGCTGACAAGTAAACTGCTGCATTGATCCCTTCTAAAGTGTATTTGCATTTGTGGTAAGTCTCATATTTCTCACGCAGACCAAGCAATATCTTGACAGCGTCCTCCTGTAGAAGTATGTAAAAAATTAATAATATGAGAAAATAGACACCAACCCTAACAAGTGGCTTTTGGAAGAGAAATTTGAGCTACCTGGCTAGGCTCTTTGACAAATACTGGCTGGAATCTGCGGGCCAAAGCCTTATCCTTCTCAAAATGCAAACGGTGTTCATCTAGAGTTGTCGACGCAATGCACTGTGAGCAAAGACAAGAATAACCACGGGGAAAGAAAAACAAATCTCAGGCAGCTGGGTGGCTCATGAAACAATTAATATTCTATCACAGATTGGAAAACCTGTTTTACTTCAAGCAGATGTGGCTTTCATAAAGATCGAATCTCACTCAAGTGACAAAGCATACACTAAACAGTATAACAAGAGCAATACAATGGTGGTGGGCATAATTAACAGATGACCAAAGACTGACCGAATTACCGGGACCGAAATCGAAATTTTTGGTCCCTAATTAGGTTTTGAGGGACCGAAATCGAAATTTTTGGTCCCTAATTAGGTCTTGAGTTTCAGGTAACCGAACTTTGTCCAGGTAATTCGGTTCATAGCCTCGGGTAACCGATTTGCCAAAAAAAAGAAGCAAACGAGGCCCAATAAGTAAATCAGCACAGTAAGCAAACAAGCCCAATACTAACCCTAGAACCTCCCACATCCCCACCCTATCCCCATTTCCCCAGCCTCCAGGCAGTAAATGCCACACCCGCCTTGCCTGGTCCTAACACCCAGTAGCAGAGAGCCTCTATGCTCTACCCTGTGCAGCCAAGCCTCCTCCGGCAGTCCAGCTCTCCAACCCTTGCATCCTCCCTCTCGGCTTGGATCTGTGTGGGTGCGTGGCCACGGACTATCAAGAGCCGGCAGTGGATCCTGACCCTGTTTGCTCTCCAGCTGGCAGCAGCAGTGGAGCAGATCCTGCAGGCAGCGCAGCGGTCGGGCAGTGGATGGGTCCTGGTGTTAGCCAGCGCGCATGTGATTTTTTTTTTGGTTGCCTGTGGGAACCTGAGTTGACAATGGTTGGGTAGTTCAATCATAACCAAGAGCGATTTTCTAGGTCATGATATTTCAGGAAAACTGAAGAACTGAATTGATTAGTTTAGTCTAACCGAATGTCTACCCTAAATACAAGAACCACTATTCTAACCACAAACTGTCCTTCACAATTCCTCATTGACATTCTCTCTCTCTCAAAAAAGTAAACCTTCATTGCCAATAAGCTATGCAATCAATAGGTCACTAGTACATAAAATACATGGCGTACCCATTGCAGAGAGCTCCCGCTCTGTGCGGGGTCTGGGGAAGGGTGTTAGTGGCAAGCCTTACCCTCGCCTGTGCAATGCGAGGAGACCGCGACTCGAACCCGGGACCTTCCGGTCACAGGCGGTAAGACTCTACCGCTTACATGATTCTAGGGAAATCTCTAATGTACAAATAGTGCATGATACAGTCTGTTTGGAAAACACAGCAATATAACAACCCACACATCTAGACAGCAAGTAAAATGATGCAGCGCATGAATCAATACTGTCAATACGGGAAGTATCGTGCATTAAGTGCAAAGCATGAAGGGCAACATAGAGTAAGCTGGATATTGTGAAGTCCATACCTGCAATTCACCTCTAGCGAGTGCAGGCTTGAGCAAATTGGCAATATCAAGGCCAGCTCCTTTACTTCCTCTTCCAGCAATTCCAGATCCAATAAGAGTATGGACCTCATCGATGAATAGCATAACATTACCTACATGAAATTTGGGAGCTAATTAAAGATTGTATATCAAGAAAAAAATTTCAACATCCAGTGATTTATATTGGACAAGCCAGATGACCTGCTTTGCGCACTTCACGAAGTAAACTAGTAATCCTGGCTTCCAGTTCACCCCTTTCTTTTGCACCAGCCATAAGTAGAGCAACATCCAATGATAATATACGTTTTCCCTGTAAAATAATGTAGATGAGTAGTAACTATTAACCGCAGTTGTTGCTCAATACTTTACAACATGACTGGGATTCTGGTTA